ATATATATATATATATATATATATATATGTCAGAATATGAATATATTTAATAATCAGAATAAAATTTATACAATCTCTGTCTGTCAGAGTTTCTCAGCATGAAGCCAACTTTTTAAGCAATGCATTTTTACAGATTCATAAAATGTCCGCATCACCACCATCGTCATCATCATCTTCTGCCTCTGCAGCGTCCAAATCAAGACGGAGCATCATTTCCTGTTGCAATTCCATGCCCAGACCAGCTTGGAAGAGAAAATTCGGCGGGATGAATGGCGGCAGAAACGCATCAATCTCACCATCATCAGTATCATCCGGATTACGGAAACCAAATCCACGTACAGGTTCCATCTGAAAAAAGAAAAAACAGTAAATTAACGATTGCCCAGGCCTGCCTTTCGGCTGACTGCCAACACCTGTGAAACATCGCCCGTCAAAATTTTGAAAATCAAGAAAAAGTAATTAAAAATCAAACGAAAAAGTCAAAAAAAACTTCAAAATTCCGAAATTTTTTCAAAATTTTTAAAAAAATTTCAAGATTTTCAGCACCAAAATTTTCGACAAAAAACAGTAAATTAACGACTGTCCAGGCCTGCCTTCCGGCTGGCTGCCAACACCAGTGAAAACCTCCCGTCAAAATTTTGAAAATCAAATCAAAAAAATCAAAAATCAAATGAAAAAAACCAAAAAAAAATTTCAAAATTTCTTCAAAATTTTTAAGAAAAATTTCAAAATTTTCAGCACCAAAATTTCCGGCAAAGCACCAATCAGTCCAATCTTCGTGTTTTATCCTATGGGTCAAACTACTAAAAACAGATTTATGAGTATATCCAAACTGAGAAGAAATGACGAACCAAGATTTCCGGGTGCTCTCTTTCGATAAATTCACGCATCATTGGATCATTTTCCATTTCCAAAAGCATGTCCTGTACATCGATGCCCAAGCTACCATGTACTGATTGCATATGTGCATAAACTGCCCCACTTTCGTTTGCCTGAAATATTAAAAAAAGCATATACATAAATATTATCAAAGTGTTAATGCCAAAAAATGAAAAAATAAATGAATAATATATTATGTAAAAATAAATAACAATAATATAAGTAATATAAGTAAACTTAAATAATAACA